GTTGTTTTGTTTCATTAAGTTGATCTTCGACCTCTGATACCCTTTCTTCTGCTTGATCCATTCGGCTGTTTAAGCTTGTACAAATTTCACTAAGTTCTCGTGTTGTATTTTTCAACTCCATAAGTTCATTTGTATTCCTCTCTATATTGTCTATTCTTTTCAACATTTCATCTAACCTTTTTTCCAAGTTCTTAGTTTCTATACATTGGGTTAGAACAAGTTCCTTTAACTCCCAGAAGTTTCTTATCATCCACCTTTTAAAGCCTACTTCAGATAATGGAACACAGTCCTTTTCCATCAGGGCTTGTTCCGTTACTGATGAGTCCTCTTCCATCAGGGCTTGTTCGGTTGCTGATGAGTCCTTTTCCATCAGGGCTTGTTCTGTTGCTGATGGGTTCTGATTTTGAGTATACTCGGCCTTCTTAGGCTGTTTTTTTCCCTTCATTGTAGATGAACCGCCTTTCTAATTAGTTTTCTGAGTCGACGTCCGACTTATTGATTCCCAGTGCTGGGATCTGAGCAACCCACTGTGGTGGCCTAAATAGCAGCGATAAGACTGATGGTGCTCTTCTGCCCGGGAATCTCTGGTCTGGCTTCCCTCTTGAGTCTGCAACAAGCGGCTCTGACTTCCTGGAGCTCCAAACTCCGATCAGTAGGGGAAGCAGTCCCGTTGGCTCTGCATGAAGAGCTGCTGCGCCTAGATGGCAAAACCGCTGCGGTGGCCACAAGAGTCGCGCTGGCGACCCGTGGGGCTCCTCCACTGGGAATCGGCTGATCGGTGAGTGACGAAAATTTTTCTAAAAGTGTGGCGTCGTCTCGTTCTCTGGGCTTTCACTGGGAGCTACAGTCCTGAGCTGTTAGTGGTCGGCCATCTTGGATCAATCTCCGATATTTTAACATTATAAGGTCTCGTGGATTCTGGGTGGAGATAATGCTGGCTCTGTCCTTGCAGGGTACCTTGGGAGAGACTGTGTGGACGCCTGTCACCTGAACCCCTGCGAGAACATGGCGGCCTGCGTGCGCTCCCCTGGCTCCCCACGGGGCTACGTGTGCGACTGTGGGCCCAGCCACTACGGGCCGTACTGCGAGAGCAAGTAAGCACAGCCCCTGGGCCTCCGTGCCTGCAGAGTCCACCTGGCCGTCCTCGCTCTTGAGTCAGTGTCTTCTCTTCCTTATTTTGACCCAAAGATATGTGTAATTCTGGATGACAGGGACATATTTTTTTTTGAGACAGAGTCTTGCTCTGTCACCTGGGCTGGAGTGCAGTGGGCCAATCTCGGCTGACTGCAACCTCCACCTCCTGGGCTCAAGCAGTTCTCCTGCCTCAGCCTCCCGAGTAGCTGGGATCACAGGTATGGACCACCACACCCACCTAATTTTTTTGTATTTTTAGTAGAGATGGGTTTCACCATGTTGGCCAGTGTGGTTGCAAACTCCTGACCTCAAGTGATCCACCCACCTCAGCCTCCCAAGGTGCTAGGATTACGGGCGTGAGCCACTGTGCCTGGGCAGTAAGAATCAATTTGGACGTCTCAAACTAACCCTGTTGGATCACGTGTCCACCCCAGAAACATGTAACACGACTCATTCATCTGGAGTCCTGTGCCCAGAGCAAACAGGCCCCTTGAGATGCAGCGAGATGGGTGTGATTATACAGAACACTTTCTCGAGTCGGTGGGGTTGAAGTCGTGTCTGGTGTGTGTGGAGATCCTGGTGGTGTTAGGACTGGCAGCAGCATGCTCTCGGGGCTCCCGGAGTGCCCTTTGCACAGGGATGGCCGAGCATCAGTTTGTCCAAGGTGGAGCAGCTTGGTTCCTCATAAACCACAGTTCCAGGCCCCCGTGGAGGGAGGGGATGCCCCCACAGCTCATGGGCCTCAGCTGCTGGTGGGCATCAGGGGCAGGGACACCTGCTACGCGCTCTTCTTTATGTACCTGAGCCTAGAGCAGATGCTGTGATCCCAGCTGCGGCCCCATAAGCGGGAAGCAGCCTGTGGCCTTGGGCTTGTGACCTCTCGAGAAGATGGCACTGCACCACACTTGGATGTCAGCAAGTGTGATGGAAGAGAGGGCTTGGAGGAGGTTCCCTGGGAGTGGAGAGGGAGGTGGGAGCCAGGGAGGCTGAAGCGGAGGGCATTCTGGGAGCAAAAGCAACCGAGCTGAGCTGGAGAGGAGCAAGGGATGAGGCTGGTCTAAAGAACCTGGGGGTCATCCAGGAAGGCAGAGAGGCCTGGGTGAGGACGAGGGTGGACCCACAAGCCAGGAACAGAGCTTGGCTATATGGAGGCTGTGGGGGCCCAGCACAAAAGTGATAGGTCTGGTTTTGGGGAACCCCCAGCTGCCACATGGAACACAGCTCAGAGCAGGGGGTGTTACCAGGAGGCTGACCCAGTATCCCCATGCCTGGCACCACAGCCACCAGAGCTGCAGGGAGACGAAGGCTTGGGGCCCCCACACCACGCACACACATATCCATAAACACCAGACTCCGTCTCTGCCTGGGTGTCTTTATGACCCTGATTTATACACAGTCAGTCCTTAATAATTGCTCACCAAGTGAGTGAACTCGAGAGGCTGGCAGCTGGGTGGAGGGACCTCTGTTAGCCAGGATGGGGAATGCAAGAGCCCACAGGACACTCCAATGGGGACGTCGCAGGCAGGTGGGGCTGCAGGAGGTGCCGCCAATGACAGGAACGGGTAGGGCGACCCGTGTGCAGCCGCCGCCAGTGCCTTGGAGGCCTGGCCTTGTCCCTGCAGTGTCACTCATCTTCAGCTTCTGCTGTTCCCTGTGAGGGAGGCTCAGGGAAGCAGGACTGGCTTTCACTGGATTCTGAGTGCATGGACATGGGCCACTGACCGAAGGGGCATGCTACACCAGGGCATGGCTGCCCCGAGCATCCATAGGGCTGGTGGACAGGGGACCTGGGGGACATCAGAAGCTGCAGAACTCCCCATTCAGGAACCTCCAGCAGGCATCTCCTGCTGCCACTCACCCCACATGGCCTTGGAGAAGTGGTGCCAGGCAGCTGAGCTCAGTCTGCCTGTGTGGGGCTGCGATGTGAGTGGCCAGCATTGCAGTGGGGTCCGTTGTCATTAGGCCCCAATGAGCCAGGCATTGGGTGGACGTGGGACACACAGTGAACACACGCTGTCACAGCTGCTTTGGGCATGGTCAGTCTGTGGGTGGAGGTGAGGGTGGGAGCCAGTAGAGGGCAAACCGAGGCCACATAACATGGAAGGGAAGCTCCCCGAGCTGGGCTTAGCCAAGCTTCCTGGGCAACCATCTCTGTGCCACCAGCGGGCCTCTTCTTGTCCTGGAAAGCATCGTTACATAAACCTTCCATCTGCCCTCTCATTTTCCTGACAGACTCGACCTTCCGTGCCCCAGAGGCTGGTGGGGGAACCCCATCTGTGGACCCTGCCACTGTGCTGTCAGCAAAGGCTTCGATCCCGACTGTAATAAGACCAATGGCCAGTGCCAGTGCAAGGTGAGGCCCAGCCCCATGGTCACTGCATGCCCACCCCAGGCCCTGAGCCCAGGGAGATAGCTGTGTGTGCTCACACGCACAGAGGCTGCTATACACATGCCTGCGAACACACACCTGTGAACACTACACGCCTGTGAACACTCACACACCTGCAGACACACACAGCTGCAGACATTCACACACCTGCAAACACTCTCACACCTGCAGACACTCACACCTGCAGACATGCCTGCACACACTCACACGCCTGCAGACCCCCCATCTCTGCAAAAAATAAAAGCATTAGCTGGGTGTGCTGGTGCATGCCTGTGATCCCTGCTACTCGGAAGGCTGAGGTGGGAGGATCACTTGAGCCCTGGAGGTTGAGGGTGCAGTGAACCATGATGATACTACTGCACTCCAGCCTGGGCAACAGAGTGAGTCCCCATCTCAAAAATAAAACAAAATAGTTATACAAAATGTAAGAAAGAAACAAAGATGACGGTCACCCCATCTCACCTCCCAGCTGTGGTTGTGAACGTTTTAGCATCTCTTTGGGGCCTGCCGCTCACTGTCATTTTACACCTAGCTGGAGTCCCACCTGACACACTGTCTGAATGTTGCTCACGAGTCTGCCCAGGTCACACAGCCTGCGCCATTTTCTGGGGGGGGGTACTTGGACCTGGGGAGGCCCAGTGACTGGCCCAGGCAGTGTACCTGGTAAACAAAAGGGTCAGGCACGAACCCAGGACTTTCTGAACCCAAAGCACAAGCTCTTGATTGTCACCCTGGCCCGCTCAATGGTAGACGTTCAGGTGGCTTCTAATTTTTTTTTCTTTTTTTTGAGATGGAATATTGCTCTGTCGCCAGGCTGGAGTACAGTGGCGTGATCTCAGCTCACTGCAGCTCCCGGGTCCGAGCAGTTCTGCCTCAGCCTCCTGAGTAGCTGGGACCACGGGCGCACACCACCACACCCAGCTAATTTTTATATTTTTAGTAGGGATGGGGTTTCAGCATGTTGGCCGGGCTGGTCTTAATCTCTTGACCTCTTGATCCACCTGCCTTGGCCTCCCAAAATGCTGGGATGACAGGCATGAGCCACGGTGCCTGGCCTCTGATTTTTCCAAATAACATTAAAAAAACACCCAAGGGCCATCCCCATGCGTAAGCCTCCATTTGGATCTCTGATTCTTTTTAGGACAGATATGAAAGTGCCCGCTGTTGGGATTTGCTAAGACGTGAGGGAGGGAGGTCATACTTCCTGGGAGAACCACTGTCCTGGGAAGAGCTTCCCTTGTAGGGCCCTGGGAGGCAGCCCCCGTCGGGTGTGGGGTGTGGGGTGTGGGCAGAGGGTAGCCATGAGGGGTGCAGACGGCTGGGACCAACACACGTGCCCTGAGGGTGGGAGTCTGGATGTTGCTGAGGAAACATGCTGTGACATAGGGCTTCTCCCAGGCATCTGAAGTCACTGGCCCTGCCTCTGGCTTTTGCAGGAGAATTACTAGCAGCCCCCGGCCCAGGATGCCTGCCTACCCTGTGACTGCTTCCCCCACGGCTCCCACAGCCGCGCTTGCGACATGACCACTGGGCAGTGTGCCTGCAAGCCTGGTGTCATCGGCCGCCAGTGCAACCGCTGTGACAACCCGTTCACCGAGGTCACCACACTTGGCTGCGAAGGTCCGAGTTGCCCCTTGACTCCCCTCAGGTCACAGCGCAGGGACAGGCCACCAGGCTGGCGTGCACATGTGTGTGTGCACTCAGGGTGTTTGGGGGGACCCTGGGCTCCTTCGTGTTCTACGTCCTCTTGACCTTCTAGAAACCTTGTTCTGCGTGAGGGGCATGGGTCAGAGCCTGGTCACCCCATCTCCAGCTCTGACGTGGATGGGGGGTGGGGGAGACGCTAGGGTTTGGTTCTTAGTGGGAGCAGGGCCTCCTGCAGGGAGGGGCGCACACAGACAGCAGGGCCCGTTTGTGGCCGTCAGCACAGCGTGCCCTGCTGAGTGGCCTTCTCTCCTCTCTAACCCAGTGATCTACAATGGCTGTCCCAAAGCGTTCGAGGCCGGCATTTGGTGGCCGCAGACCAAGTTCGGGCAGCCAGCTGCAGTGCCATGCCCCAAGGGGTCCGTCGGTGAGTCCCTGTGGCCGGCGGCATCCATGGGTGGGGAACCGAGGCACACGTCCTTGTGGGAGAGCCGGTTGAGATGTCGGGACTCATGCAGGCCAAGTGCTGGGAGAAATTAGATCGCCTTTTCCCTACCAGTAAATACACAGCGCAGGCAGAGGGTGTAACAGACACACGAATGGCACGGTGTGTACAGGGACTCCTGCCAGTCACACCCGGCCATTCCCTGCTCTGCCGCTCAGCCTGGGGCACTGGGACAAATGGCTTCATTGTCCGTAGCATCAGGTGTCCCCTGTGAAATGGGGACAGTGACCATGTCTGCGCTGTGAGGGACGCCTGGGGAGTCCAGTGAGGCAGCACAAGGAAAGGCCCAGCTGCAGCGGATCCCTGGCGTGTGGCATCATGGCTGCCCGGCAGATGGTGTTGCTGATTTCTTTTTTTTTTTTTTTTTTGAGCCAACGTCTCACTCTGTCACCCAGGCTGAAATGCAGTGGTGCAGTCTTGGCTCACTGCAACCTCCACCTCCTGGGTTCCAGCAATTCTTCTGCCTCAGCCTTCTGAGTAGCTGGTACTACAGGCGTGCACCACCATGCCCAGCTAGTTTTTGTATTTTTTAGTAGAGATGGGGTTTCACCGTATTAGCCAGGCTGGTCTCGTCCTCCTGACCTCATGATCCACCCACCTTGGCCTCCCAAAGTGCTGGGATTACAAGCGAGAGCCACCACGCCCGGCCGCTGGTTTCTTCCTCACACACTTGCTCAGGAGTGCTGGCTCCTGTTTGCTGGGCACCTGAAATGCCTGGTTGTCAGTCAGTGATAAAGCAGCTTTGGCCATGGCCCTGGCATGAGGGGTGCAGACCCCTGGGGCCGACACATGTGTCCTGATGGTGGGAGTCTGGATGTCGCTGAGGAAACGTGCTGCGACGTAGGGCCTCTCCCAAGCGTCTGAAGTCACCGGGCCTGCCTCTGGCTTTTGTAGGCACCACCGTGCCTTCGAGCCCCCATGGGGTTCTCACCGCCACACCACGTTCTGGGTTTGAGTACATTCGGACTGGGGATGGAAATACACCAGCATGGATCGACAATGTGAGTTTCAGGCTTTGCATACCTGCTCTCCTTCCCCAGGAAATGCAGTTCGACACTGCAGTGTGGAGAAGGGCTGGCTGCCCCCAGAGCTCTTCAACTGCACCACCGTCTCATTCGTGGACCTCAGGACCGTGGTAGGGGTGCCTCAGGGATGCATGCTCAGCAGGGGCGCATGTGTGCTCGTGTATGCAGGAGTTTGTGTGGGCCGAGGCTCCTGGGCTGGGGAGTGTTGGGACAGCTGGGATGATGCAGGGGTGGCTCCATGGGCTCCTGTGACTTGGGAGCGTTGGCACCTGAACTGGGCACCCCCACGTGTACTCTCCCCCGACACCGGCTCTGCGTCTTTGGTTCTGAGAACACAGGGTCCCTGCGTTTGACCCCATTTGCCCTCTGATCCTGCCCTGTCTCATGGGGGTTGTTCCCGAGTCTCCCACTGGCTGTCTCTCTCTGAGGCCTTTGCAGCCCACCAGCCCCACCCCATTTGCCCTCTGATCCTGCCCTGTCTCACGGGGGTTGTTCCCGGGTCTCCCACTGGCTGTCTCTCTTTGAGTCCTTTGCAGCCCACCAGCCCGTCCTTTCCATGCTCAAACTATCAGCAGTGCTCATTTTTGGGGTTTTGGATTTTTTTAAGTTTTGATACGGAGTCTCACTCTGTCTCCCAGGCTAGAGGGCAGTGGCCCAGTCGCAACTCACTGCAGCCTCCGCTTCCCAGATGGAAGCAGTTCTCCTGTCTCAGCCTCCCGAGTAGTTGGGACGGACAAGTGCGCACCACCATGCCTGGCTAATTTTTTGTGTTTTTAGTAGGGACAGGGTTTCACCATGTTGGCCAGGGTGATCTTGAACTCCTGACTGCAAATGATCCACCTACCTCTGCCTCCCAAAGTGCTGGGATTACAGGCATGAGCCACCACGCCCGGCCAGGCTTTTGGATTTTGGAATTTCCTTTCTGACACGGAAACTTGCACCAGATGGGAGTGAGTTTCTGAGTAACAGCAGGGACTGAAAGCAGCCAAGTGTTTGCACACCTCACGACCGCCTCCCTGTTCCAGAATGAGAAGCTGAGCCGCAACGAGACACAGGTGGATGGCGCCAGGGCCCTGCGGCTGGTGAGGGCACTGTGCAATGCCACGCGGCACATGGCCACACTCTCTGGCACTGATGTGTGCACGACCTACCAGCTGCTGGGCCGCGTCCTGCAGCACGAGAGCCGGCAGCAGGGATTCGACCTGGCGGCCACACAGGACGCTGACTTCCATGAGGTAGGAGGGTGGCTGCAGGCCCGGCTCGGGGACACTCAGGGATGCTGGCGGGCGGGCGCTATAGGGCCGAGCATCGACCCCAGCTTGTAGAAGATGGTTGTGTCCAGAATCCCCGAGGCAAACACTCATTTCTCAAATGTGAGCCCCGGCAGGTGCGGTGCCCAGCTAAACTGACGACGAAGGCCAGGGAGTTTTCTGGGAGGAAACGCACAGGTCACAGCCCCGTGGGTGATCTCAGTAGTGCCCGTAGTGTGGTCTAAGTGGCTTCTAAGAGGTTCTAGCCGGTGCAGGGGCCCACGCCTGTAATCCCAGCACTTTGGGAGGCTGAGGCAGGTGGATCACCTGAGGTCAGGAGTTAGAGACCAGCCTGACGGTGGTGTGTGCCTATAGTCTCAACTATACTCTGGAAACTGAGGCAGGAGAATCACTTGAACCTGGGAGGTGGAGGTTGCAGTGAGCTGAGATCATGCTACTGCACTCCAGCCTGGGCAACAGAGCGAGACTCAGTCTCAAAAAAACAAATAAATAAAGGTTCTAAGTGGCTCACCTGAATCAGCCCCCTCTCCCTTCCACACAGCCTATGATGTAATATCATCCACCCATTTGACAGGTAAGGAAACGGAGGCACAGAGAGCTGAGGGGTTTGCCCAGAGGCACAGCTCCTAAGGGGCAGTGGGCTTTCAGAGGGCCACGCCTCTATCTCCACCCTCCCGCCCCATGTGCCGAAGTCGTTAGCCCCTGAGCAATGTCTGCTAAGAGACTCACACAGCTGATGTTTGGAAACGGCTCTTGGAGGCTCCAGAAGTTTCCTGTGGCTTCTGGGCAGGTCTCTTCACCCATGCGGGACCCTCAGAGGAGTGCCTGTCCACACAGAGCCCGTGGGGGATGCCCCATTCCTTACCCCATCCACAGGGAGCCCTCAGGGACCTCCTCATCCATGCAGGCCCCACACAGGGCTTCCAGTCCATGCAGGGCCCCCCATGAGAGCTTCAGGTGTGCACAAGGCTCCCAGAGACAAGGCAGGGTCCTCTCGCTGGGATTTGAGTCCCAGCCTGAGAGTTGGGCCAGTGGCATTTGTTCTCCATGTGTGACTCTACAAACAAGTTCCCTCCCGGTTTTTTTTTTTTTTTTTTGAGATGGGGTCTTGCTCTATTGCCCAGGCTGCAGTGCAGTGGCGTGATCTCAGCTTACTGCAGCCTCCACCTCCTGGGTTCAAGCAATTCTCCTGCCTCTGCCTTTCCAGTAGCTGGGATTACAGGCACCTACCACTATACTTGGCTAATTTTTTGTATTTTTAGTAGAGACAGGTTTTCACCATGTTAGCCAGGCTGGTCTCAAACTCCTGATTTCAGGTAATCCACCTGCCTCAGCCTCCCAAAGTACTGGGATTACAGGTGTAAGCCACTGTGCCCAGCCCTGGTTTCTACCTTGGGTGTGGTCCCCAAACCCCTGAACATGGCCCCACACCTCCACCCAGTCATTCAGAGACCCCGAGGTGCACAGAGGCAGAGGGTCACCCTTGGAGGAGCTCTCTGTGTGTCCACAGTGGCCTCAGTGGGGTTTGGGAGGAGTTCTGATAAAACCAGGGACGTCTCCACATGTCTTCACCTTAGCATCTTGGGGTATATGTGGAAAAAACCTGTGGCAGGGCTCACTCTGACAGTTCGGGCCTCTGGCAGCGAATCACCCACAGTCTCTCTAGTTTATGTGGTGGGGTTCGGGATGTATGGAAATCACACATTAAAAAATACTTCTTATCTCTTTGAATTCAACTTTGATTAATGTTTGATCCTATTTATAAACTGAGACCATCAAATTTCCTTACGTATTTTAAATGGAATCATATGTCAGATATTTGATTTTTCTTTTCGTATTTCAGTTTGGCTAGCAAACAGATCTTCCAAGCATTTAAACAGTGCTTGTAAATCTAATAAGGCCAAAAATATGAAGCATCTTGAATTCTCTGGATTTTTATATACTTTGTGAGCTATATAAAAATATACCATCTATTCCTCTTAAGATGGGAAACTTAAAAAAAAAAATTGGAAACTAGGCCAGGCTCAGTGGCTCACGCCTGTAATCCCAGCACTTTGGGAGGCCGAGGTGGGTAGACCAACCTGAGGTCAGGAGTTCAAGACCAGCCTGGTAAACATGGTGAAAGCCCATCTTTACTAAAAACACAAAAACTAGCCGGGTGTGTTGGCACATGTCTGTAATCCCAGCACTTTGGGAGGCCAAGGCAGGTGGATCACTTGAGGTCGAGAGTTTGAGACCGGCCTGAACAACATGGTGAAAGCCTGTGTCTACTAAAAATACAAAAATTAGCCAGGTGTGGTGGCACATGCCTGTAATTCCAGATACTTAGGAGGCTGAGGCAGGAGAATTGCTTGAACCCAGGAGGCAGAGGTTGTAGTGAGCCGAGATCACACCACTGCATTCCAGCCTGGGCGACAGAATGAGATTCCATCTCAAAAAAAAAAAAAAAAAATTGTAAATTCATGTTAAAGCGCACAGTCTAAAGTGCGGGGCCGGAATGAATGAATGAGCCCACTAGATGAGCAAAGGCTTTCAGGGCTGGTGTCCCTTGGTCCCGAGAGCCAGGCCTTTCTCCGCTGGTGGAGCACTGAGCGCTGTCTGTCTGACCAGGACGTCATCTACTCGGGCAGCGCCCTCCTGGCTTCAGCCACCAGCACAGCATGGGAGCAGATCCAGTGGAGCCAGGGTGGCACGGCACAGCTGCTTCAGCACCTCGAGGGCTACTTCAGCAATGTGGCACGCAACATGCGGCGGATGTACCTGCGGCCCTTCGTCATTGTCACCGCCAACATGAGTAAGGCGCTGGCTGCGTGGGGGGTGGAACCCCACGATCATCGGGGCTCTACCCAGGAGCTGGGCCCATGGGTGTAGCAGGTGGGCTCCTGGCCATGCTTAGCCACACTCTTAGAAAAACAATTTAGGGGTCGGGCACAGTGTCTCACGCCTGTAACTCCAGTATTCTGGGAGGCCAAGACAGGCAGATCATGTGAATTCAGGAGTCAGCTCATCTGTTGATGGATGCCTGGGTCACGTCCACCTTTTGGCCTGTGTGAATGGTGCTGTTGTGAATGTGGGTGTGCAAATATCTGGGTCCTTGCTTTTAGTCTTTTGGGTGTAGAGCCAGAAGTGGGCTTGCTGGGTCATGTGGTAAATCCTATGACCCAGCCTGGCCAACATAGTGAAACCCCATCTCTACTAAAAATAGAAAAAGTAACCAGCCATCATGGTGCATGCCTGTAGTCCTAGCTATGCTGGAGGCTGAGGCACAAGAATCACTTGAACCTGGGAGGCAGAGGTTGCGGTGAGCCAAGATCGGGCAACTGCACTCCAGCCTGGGTGACAGGAAACTTTCAAAAAAAAAAAATCAGCAGCTAGGCCTGTTTCCTCATCTGTGAGTGGAGTCTTTGGAAGACAGTCTGCAGTGACTCACCCATTGCTCCCAGGGGCCAGGTCCCAGGCTTGGGAGATGTTGGGCCATGATCTTGGGTGTCCAGCCGGCTGGTCCTCCAGACCCTCAGGAGTGAAGCTCTAGAAGGGTGGGTGTCAAGGGTTCTGCCTCCCTCCAGGCTCACTGCAGACAGGTGTAGGTACATGTGGGTTGCAGGAAGTGGGAAATTGATTCTGTTCTAAAGATGGTCAGTCAACCAGGCATGGTACTTTACCCTGTAATCCCAGCAGTGTGGGAGGCCAAGGTGGGCAGACTGCTTGAGCCCAGGAGTTCGAGACCAGCCTGGGAACTGTAGTGAGACCCTTTCTCTATTAAATAAATAAATAAATTAGCCAGGTGTGGTGGCATGCTCTTGTATTCCCAGCTACTCAGGAGGCTGAGGTGGGAGGATTGTTTGAGCCCAGGAGATTGAGGCTACAGTGAACTGAGATTGCACCACTGCACTTCATCCTGGGTGAGAGAGTGAGACCGGGTCTCAAAAAATAAATATAAATAAATAGGCTGGGCACAGTGGCTCGTGCCTGTAATCCCAGCACATTGGGAGGCTGAGGCAGGTGGATCCTTGAGGTCAGGAGTTTGCGACCAGCCTGGCCAACATGGCGAAATGCCATCTCTACCAAAAATACAAAAAATCAGCCAGGCGTGATGGTGCACACGTGTAATCCCAGTACTCGGGAGGCTGAGACAGGAGAAGTGGTTGAAGCTGGGAGGCAGAGGTTGCAATTAGCCAAGATCACACTGCTGCACTCCAGCCGGGGAGACAGCGTGAAACTCCATCTCAAAAAAATACTAATTAAAAAAATTAAATAAATAAGGCCAGCCAATCAGTGTGACAGTTGTAGTCATTTTGAAAACAGTGGCTGGGCGCGGTGGCTCACACCTGTAATCCCAGCACTTTGGGAGGCCGAGGTGGGTGGATCATGAGGTCAAGAGATCAAGATCATCCTGGTCAACATGGTGAAACCCCATCTCTACTAAAAATATTTTAAAAATTAGCTAAGCATGGTGGCGCGTGCCTGTAATCCCAGCTACTCAGGAGGCTGAAGCAGGAGAATTGCCTGAACCCAGGAGGCGGAGGTTGCGGTGAGCCGAGATCGCGCCATTGCACTCCAGCCTGAGTGACAAGAGCTAAACTCCATCTCAAAAAAAAAAAGGAAACAGCAAGGATTCAAGGTAGCTGTGGGGGTTATGTCTGATTAAAGGAAGTATCCCCCCAGTTCTTGCCGTCGACATCTTTGACAAGTTGAACTTCACAGGAGCCACAGTGCCACGGTTCGACGCCATTCAGGAAGAGTTCCCCAGGGAGCTGCAGTCCTCCGTCTCCTTCCCAGCTGACTTCTTCAAACCACCTGAAGAAAAAGGTAAAAGCTCTTAGAAACCTGCTGCTGCCCTCGACACCCCCAGAGTTCAGGGAGTGGGGATCCCATGCAGCATCCCAGGAAGGTGAACACGCCATGTTCTGGGCACTGAAGATCCAGGGCTGGGGTGTTCTGAGTGTTGGCCAGCGCCAGGTCCTATTGGTGGCCGCGGGTTGTTTCAAACAAGCGCTTAGGTACAGGTTGAGCACCCTGATCCTGAGATCTGAACTGCTTCAGAATCTGAACCTTCTGGAGCACCAACCTGACGCTGGAAGGAAGTGCTCGTTGTAGCATAAGTATGAATACTTGAAAAAATCCAGGCTGGGCGCGGTGGCTCACGCCTGTAATCCCAGCACTTTGGGAGGCTGAGGTGGGCGGATCACCTGAGGTCTGGAGTTTGAGACTAGCCTGGCCAACATGGTAAAACCCCATCTCTATTGAAAAATACACAAACTAGCCAGCTGTGGTGGCAGGCACCTGTAATCCCAGCTACTCAGGAGGTGGAGGTATGAGAATCGCTTGAGCCCAGGAGGCGGAGGTTGCAGCATTGAGATGCACCAGCCTGGGCTATAGAGTGAGACTTTGTCTCAAAAACAAAAATTCAACATGTTCCTAAGCATTTCAGCTGAGGGATACTCAGCCACGTGACTGATAATGTGAACAAGAAAACAGAACTGAAATTTGTGTGTACACTGGTCTTCGGTGTGCAGTGAAAAGCTGCTGCTAGCTGGGTACGATGGCTCACACCTGTAACCCCAACACTGGGAGGCTGACATGGGGAGGATCGCTGGAGCTCAGAAATTCAAGACCAGCCTGGGCAACATAGGGATACCCCATTTCTACCAAAAAAGTTCTTTTTCAATTACCTGGGCATGGTGGTGCCCAGCTGTAGTCCCACCTACTCAGGAGGCTGAGGTGGGAGGATTGCTTGAACCCAGGAAATGGAGGCTGCAGTGAGCTGTGGTCATGCCACTACAGCCCAGCCTGTGCAACAGAGAAAACCTGTGTGGGGGGGTGGGGAGTGAAAGGCCGCCTTTAAATAGAAATAAAAATTTTACAGTCACCTTCCCCTCCCTGAAAAAAGCAACCACAAAACCCGAACCAGAATGCCGTCTGTGTATGTACAAATCCTCAGTCCTGGGTTGAGATAGGTGATACAAAACAGTATAAACGTTTTGAATTTTCCTAAGGTGCTTTTTCACAGATCCATGACAATCACTAAAAACATCCCAAAATAAAAAGGACATGAAAAGGTAAACCCCTTAATGGACCGTTTAGAATTGGAAACCTTGTGACTAAAGTGATTTTGTCAGGTATATCTCATGTCTTAAAAAGAGGGGTGCCTGAAACTGAGAGGATGAGGAAACTGACTAGCCCCCCGCTGCAGCCAGCTCTCCCTGGAACTAATAGAGTGAGAACTTGCTCATTACCAATGGGAGGTACCAAGCCATTCATGGGGGATCCACCCCTGTGACCCCCAACACCCCTGACCATGTGCAGGTCTAACGCTGATCACATTTCAATGTGAGATTTGGAGGGGCCAGACATCCAGACTATATCAGATACATTCATGTTGAAGCAGTCCACCTCCAGAACTCTTCATCCTGCAGATCTGAAACTCTAGCCCGCAAAACACCAACACCCCTCCCCAGCCCTAGTGCCCACCGTGCTTGCTTTCTCTGAATTGGACTCCTCTAGGGAACTCCTATAGGTGGAATCACACAATTATTTGTTTTTTTGTGATTGGCTTATTTCACTGAGCGTAATGTCCTCTAGGTTCACCCATGTCATGGTGTCAGACTTTGCTTCCTTTTGAAGGCTGAGTAATATTCCATTGTGTGGATGGACCATGTGTGTTTATCCTCTCACGTGTTGATGGATGCCTGGGTTGTGTCCACCTTTTGGCCTGTGTGAATGGTGCTGTTGTGAACGTAGGTGTGCAAGCATCTGGGTCCCTGCGATCAATCTTTTGGATGTAGAACCAGAATTGGGCTTGCTGGGCCATGCGGTAAATTCTATTTTTGATTTTTTGAGGACCTGCCATACTGTTTTCAGTGGAACATCTGTTGGTTTGTGAGAAATGCCTGCTGGCCCTGACCTCGGCCTTGGAGAATGCAGGTGTTCCCGCCAGAGTCCTCATGCTCTGCTCACATTGCAGAAGGCCCCCTGGGGAGGCCAGCTGGCTGGAGGACCACCCCGCAGACCATGAGCCCTGGACTGGGCACCAAGAGGGAGGCTCCTATCAGCAGGCGGAGGCGACACCCTGATGTTGCTGGCCAGTTCGCCATTGCTCTGGTCATCATGTACCAGACCCTGGGGCAGTTTCTGCCCGAGCTCTATGACCCAGACCGCCGAAGCCTTCGGTAAGGCCTGGGCATGGGGACATGGGAAGGGTCTGTTTCAGGGGTCCCCAAGGCTTCCACAAGTCAAAATTCTGATCTTGATCAAGCACAGGTCTTCACGGCAGCATTTCACCGGGACCCTGGCCCAGAGACAGAGACCACTGTCCTGTGGTGTCCCTTGGAGGGAGGTTCTGGGTCTGCCACTGGATGCCATCCCCTGGAGCACCATACACCCTTTGCCTGGGCTTATCCCAGTGCTTCTGCCAGAAATGCCCCCTCCCCAGCATATGCCCCATCTTGTGCCCCGAGGGACCCCATGCTGTCGTGGGTGGTGCCTACTGCTGGTTCCGGGGCTTTAGGGCTGCTCAGCCCATCCCGGCTGGAAAGGATGGACGTTGGGAAGCAGATTTGTGGCCCCCTCGGTGGGAGCAGCCCGAGCCTCTGCCCTTCCTTTTCCTGCAGTTTCCCAGACACTTCCCTGACTCGGGGGGTCCTTGTGATCACGTGGTTCTCAGTGACCAGGTGATTCACCCCTGGGAGCTGCCATTATTCTGCTGTCTTTGGACATTTAAGCCACCACCTGTTTGTCTGCCGTTAACTGTTTCGGCTGTAATGTCTTCGCACCTGTGCCTTCTGTTTCTTTTTGAATTTCTGACCCGAAGATGACACATCTCCCTGTGGGCTGTGTCAGTGATAAAACCTGCACATTGTGCAGGGGGATGAGGACATTGTGGGGCTTGCGGCTTTGAGCTCTCTTCGTGTGATTCTGTCTTCCCTAGAACACATGCATGGCATGTCCTCAGGGCATTTGTGTGGGATTTCAGTGAACGTTTCCTAATCGTGTCTGTCCACATGCTCTGGCTTCTTGACCTCAGGCTGCCTCACCGGCCCATCATTAATACCCCGATGGTGAGCATGCTGGTGTACAGTGAGGGGGCTTTGCTCCCAAGACCCCTGGAGAGGCCCGTCCTGGTGGAGTTTGCTTTGCTGGAGACAGAGGAGCGAACCAAGCCCGTCTGCGTGTTCTGGAACCACTCCCTGGCATAAGTGCGGCGCCGGGAGTCCCACATCCCCATGTGAGGGCTTTGCCAAGGCAGGGAGCACCGCAGGGTCGGGGGATCAGTGGCAGAGCATCCCACGAGGATGGTCCCTTGTGGTCTGTGTCTTTCCTTCCAGCCCCTTGTGGGGCAGTCAGCCTCCTGCTCTGCTTCTGTGGGAGCATCAGAGCCCCCCAGATGCCCACACACAGATGTACACAGACCCACACATGGAAACGCAGACATGTAAACACATGCAGGCTCACACACATGCAGGCCCACACACACATGCACACCCACAGGTGCACATACACATGCACACCCACAGATGCACACACATGCACACCCGCACATGCACACACAGGTGCACATGCACACCCACAGATGCACACGCACAGGTGCATACCCACAGATGCACATGCGCAGATACACACAGATGCACACACGCAGGTGCATGCAGACCCACATGTGGAGAGGCAGACATGGAGGTGCACAGAGAGATCCCTCAAGGCTGACACCCAGGAAGGGGCTCCTCACCTGCAGGACTCCCGAGATGCAGCAGCCACACTAGTGTATTGGCCAGTTCACTGCTGGATAAGACAGAGACCTGTTCACACACGGGAGGGCAGACCCAGAGATTGGGCCCAGGAGCCCTTCTGCTGACAGTGGGAACCCCCAGCTATGTGTGCAGTCCCCATACCAGACAAGGGCCCCTGATTTTAGTCTAGCCCAAGAGGCCGACACAGCCCAGCTTTGGGGACTGGCTTTACCCGCAAGTGGCCACATCTGGCCACAGCACAGACCAGAAGCAGCATCAGAGAGCCAGCCAGCAGAGTGGCGAAGGTGGGAGGTGGTGCGCCCGAGTCTGTGTTTCAGCGTGTGTTCCAGTGAGGGAAAGGTGTTTTGTAGTTAGAAAAAGCAGAATGACTGATTCTCACCCACACGTGAGAGTGGGTTCAGACTCACGTGGCTCAGCTCTCCTGGGAGCCGGTGGTGGTTGTGCTTCACTTTGCCTTTTTAGCTGCAGGGTTTATGTGAGGCCTTGACTTCTTTGAGTTGCTCTGTCTTTACCAGGAGCTTGCTTCTACTCTGCTGGTTCGTTTTCACTTTTGCTGTCTCTGTTTAGAAGAAAACACTAGAACTGGGGAGTGGTGGGAGGATGGGAGCACAAGCTGGTGGGGAGACCCGATGTGTCTCCACATAGTGGGAGGGAGTGTCAGGAAGAGGAGACACCATGCTGGACTTGGGGAGTCAGAGCATGAGCACCCCCAGGCTCAAATCGGCTAAATATTGTGTATCTGGGGGCGTCCATGCAGTGGGAACACTCCCCCCTCCCCCCACCACCGTTCCTCTGAGCAGAGTGGAGAGCCATGAATGGTGGCTGTGCAGGGAGCTGTGCCATGGTGAGCGAGCTCATGCCAGGAGCCTGTTCAGCCCAGCCTTCTTCTCCTGCTTCTGTGCCTTCCAAGTCCTAGTTAGTGAGCAACCAGCACAGCACCTGGAATGCAATAGGCGGTTGGCTTATAAAGGGGAGACCAAAGGAGCCCCTTTCACCACGAGGGACGTCGGGCCAGCCATCTGTCCCGGGCCTTTATCTGCACCCTGGCAGTTAGCTCTGGCTCTAATGCCCTGCTCTCTGCTTTATGCTGTACCTGTTCCCAGATTGTAAAGTTCATGGCAGACATATTAGTGTTCACGTCCCATTTTACAGGTGAGCAAACTAAGGATCTGAGAGGTGGTGTGATTTTCCCAGGGTCTGGGAGGGCAGGGCCCTGTCTGAAGCTGAGACACACCTCATAACAGCTTGCTATCTGGGGCTTCCCATCAGGAAAGCGGAAGTCCCCATGGGGCCCTGGCTTCTGGGCAGCTCCCATAAAGCATTGTTCAATCTGAAGATGCAAGTGTCAGAGGAAGGCAAGATGTTCTTGTGAAAGTGTCTGTCCTCAGAAGGAGACAGGAGTGCATTGCAGCTCTGTGAACCCCAGTGGGCGGTTCCAGCAGCAGGGCATGTGGTGGACACGAGACGGCCCCGTTTGAGTTTTGCTGCCAGAGGACATGTAGAACTTGAACTTCAGAGGCTGCTCCTTGGAGGCCCTGACAAGACACAGGAGGGAAGGGAGATTTCCCATGGTCCCTCCTTCATTGGGTGGCTTTTATTTATTATTTTTCTTTTTGAGACAGTCTTGTACTGCTGCCCGGGCTGGAGTGCAATGGTGTGATCTCAGCTCACTGCAACCTCTGCCTCCTGCGTTCATGTGATTCTGCTGCCTCAGCCTCCCGAGTAGCTGGGATTACCGGTGCACACTACCACACCCAGCTGATTTTTTGTATTTTTAGTAGAGATGGGGTTTCACTGTGTTGGCCAGATTGGTCTCGAACTCCTTCCCTCATGATCCATCCACCTTGGCTTCCCAAAGTACTGGGTTTACAGACATGAGCCACCACACCTGGCCACGGGTATCTCTTATTTTCAGTGCAGGGGACTGGTGAGGAACATGGTGGTGAGCAGCCTGCGAGGATGCGGGGCTTTCATCATGCACAGTACCTGCTGTTTGGTTTGGCCAGCGTGGCCCGTGAGCCCGTAGGGCTGGGCAGAGGCTGCCCCCGACAGGCTCATGGGTGGAGGGAACCATCTCACCCCCGCCCCTTCTCTCTTCTATTCGCAGCATCAGTGGGACGGGAGGGTGGTCTGCCCGGGGATGCGAGCTCCTGTCCAGAAACTGGATGCATGTCACATGCCAGTGCAGCCACACAGCCAGCTTCACGGTGCTCATGGACATCTCCAGGCATGAGGTGGGCATCCTCCTGTGGCCGTTGTGCCCGCCAGGCCTACCCCCGAGTCTGCCCCCTCCTCAAACGAAATCTTCCACTGCAAGTGTTTTGAACAAAGCACATCAACCAGTTAAAAACCATTCCGGGACTGGCCAGAGTCCATGAGGATTTCCATAACAAAGCCCCATGACAGGGGTTTTCAGAGCCCTGCTTATGCTTTATACCCTGGGATGACAGACCCAAAGCTCTCAGAGGAGCTCCCCAATCTACCCCTTGCTTCAGAGCGGGTATGCTGGAAGGTGCCGCTGTCCAGTCACTTTAATTGCAAGGGAGGTGACAGCTGCCGGGCACAGTGGGTGTGCTCCCTCGGGGCCACACGCAGGGCCGCAGGACAAAAGGCTGGGCGGCTAATGTTTAGCCTCTGGCATTTTAAGCGGCCTGGGAATGTGAGCCGGCTATTGTGGGCCTGCAGATGAATTGGGGAGTGGCCTGGGTGCTGTCCTGGCCTCCCATTACCCAGACAGGAAGGAGGTGGGAGCCAGCCTGGGCACGGCCTGTGGGGGACTCGGTGTCTAGGAAGCAGAACCAGAGGCCTAGGTGGCCTCCCCTTGCCCCTCCCCAGGGCCATGCTGTGGCTCAGGCACCCAGACCACCATCCTTCCCGAGGGCTTTCTGATGTGAAGTGGCCCTGGTTTCTGTCACATTCTTGGAAGGGTGAGTCAGTCCTGAGGCAGGGCTGGAGGGGGGCTGTGGCTTTCTGTGCACTGTGCATGAGAAGCTGCCCTGCCTGTGCCCCCGTCTCACAGGCAGAAGGCACTCCCCAGCAGGACCCAGCCTGGAGAGGGGGTCAGTGGTTAGTGGACTTGGTTCATATAAGGGTGGGGTTGGAGTTCTCATGGCCAGGATGCCAGGTGAGATGCAGACCAAGAAAGCTGAAATTGAGGCAGAAGAAAGGAGGCTGGAGTGGGAGTCTGAGGCTCCCGTGGCCCGGGTGCCCCAAAGCCAGAGTCTCTGAACAGTCCCCAAGCCAGTGGAGGGAGCCTGGGGTGTTACTGCAGAGCCCAGGGACACCCAGGGCCCAGAGCGTTGAAGGAGCCACAGGAATGGCAGTTCCAGGCCCAGGCCCATGAGCACTCAGCCTCCCCGGCCCAGCCTGATCTTGGCTTCCTGGCTCAGTCCCATATGGTAAACAACCCCTTCCAGAAGATACCAGAGAACCAGAGCTTGTGAATGCAGAAATGCCCCAGGGGCCTGGGGCCTGGACAGGTGTCCTTGTTTGTAAAAGCACAGAAAACACAGCAACGTGAGCACATGCTGCCGGGCTGCACACTTCAAAGCGCCCAAGAGGGCACGTTTTATGCCTTGTGTATTTTAGCACAATTTTTCTTTTCTTTTTTTTTTCTTGAGATGGAGTTTTACTCTTGTCGCTAAGGCTGGAGTGCAGTGGCACAACCTCAGGTCACTGCAACCTCCATCTCCTGGATTCAAGTGATTCTCCTGCCTCAGCCTCCAAAGTAGCTGGGATTACAGGCTCCCACCACCATACCCGGCTAATTGTTGTAGTTTTGAAGAGATGAGTTTCACCATGTTGGCCAGGCAGGTCCCAAACTCCTGACCTCAGGTGATCCACTTGCCTAGGCCTCTGAAAGTGCTGGGATTACAGGTGTGAGCCACCATGCCCAGCCTTTTTTTATAAAGACACGTTCAATGCCCGTAAGAAATGCATAATAAGGTTGGGTGTGGTGGCTCGAAGCTGTAATCCCAGCACTTTGGGAGGCTGAGGCAGGCAGATCACTTGAGCTCACAAGTTTAAGACCAGCCTGGGAATCATAGTAAAACCCTGGCTCAACCAAAAATACAGAATCTAGCTGGGCATGGTGATGCATGCCTATAGTCCCAGCTACTTGGCAGGCTAAGGTAGGAGGATGGCTTGAGCCCAGGAGGCAGAGGCTGCAATGAGCTGAGATCATGCCTCTGCACTCCAGCCTGGGCAACAGAGCAAGACCCTGTCTAAAAAAAATAAAAATAAAAATAAAAAAGTATAGTAAGAGATCTGGAAATTTGAAATTTGAAAAGTTCATATGTCTCAGCTGTGATAGAGACATGTGGAGCGGGCATAGGACATCTGTGTGCTGGTGGTAATGATAGAACACGTCATAGTAAGGGTGAAGCAGGAACAACAGGATGGGTGAGGAGGGTACAGATGCCCGTTGCCATGGCAATTGAAGCATCAAGCCTGCCAGTCCACATAACTGAAACCTGAAGCTCCACCCATGCTCAGCGAGTTGTTTAGCTTTTCTTCATTTTATGTGAGGGAGTTTTGCTCTTTTTTTTTTTTAATTTTTTATTGGATTATAGGTTTTGGGGTACATGAGCAGAGCATGCAAGACAGTTGCGTAGGTACACACATGGCAGTGTGCTTTGCTTTTCTTCTCCCCTTCACCCACATTTGGCATTTCTCCCCAGGCTATCCCTCCCCACCTCCCCCTCCCACTGGCCCTCCCCTTTTCCCCCCAATAGACCCCACTGTTTAGTACTCCCCTTTCTGTGTCCATGTGTTCTCATTTTTCATCATCCACCTATGAGTGAGAATATGCGGTGTTTCATTTTCTGTTCTTGTGTCAGTTTGCTGAGGATGATGTTTTCGGAGTTTTGCTCTTGTTGCCCAGGCTGGAGCGCAGTGGAGTGATCTCAACTCACTGCAACTTCCCCCTCCCAGGTTCAAGCCATTCTCCTGCCTCAGCCTCCCTAGTAGCTGGGATTACAGGCATGCACCACCATGCCTGGTTAATTTCTGTATTTTTAATAGAGACGTGGTTTCACCATGTTGGCCAGGATGACCTCAAACTCCTGACCTCAGGTGATCCACCTGCCCTCTCAAAGTGCTGGGATTACATGTGTGAGCCACCATGCCTGGCTGGGGCCCTTTTCTGAAATTATGTATGGGGAGAGCTGACCCACATTGGATCTTTAGCTGCTGAATTCACAGTGACTTTGGGTGCATTTAACCCTTTACCTCAGTCACCATTCACACTGTCAGTAGTTGTACAATGAATGAGCACCTACTGTGTGCCTGGGGCTGGGAACATAGCGGGGAATGGAACGAGCAGTCTGGGTCCCCACCTTCCTGGAGCTGGTGATCCGACAGCTAGGCATCCCTGAGGGGTGTTCCCCAGCTTGGGTGACAGCAGAGGCTGCCCTGGAAAGTGGCTGAGATGGCTGAGATGGAAAGCTGGAGAGAGGTCCTCCAGGCAGCAGGCTAGGGAGGTGCAGAGACCAGAGCACACCCAGGGGGTGGCAGCATCCAGTGAGGAGAGCTGAGAACCCTGGCTGGCACAGTCCGGCTGCTGGTGTGGAGCCCAGTGAGGCACCGGTGGCCATGGCTGGGAAATCTATTCTGTGTCCCTGTACTGAGGGTTCTAGTCCTGACAGCCCTGTGACTTCACCCTGCCAATGAGCTCAAGATAGGACCTTGGGCTCACACCTGTGATCCCAGCACTTTGGGAGTCCAAGGTGGGTGGATCACAAGGTCAGGAGATCAAGATCATCCTGTCTCTACTAAAATACAAAAAAATTAGCCTGGCATGTTGGCATGTACCTGTAGTCCCAGCTACTGAGGAGGCTGAAGCAGGGGAATTGCTTGAACCCAGGCAGCAGAGGTTGCAGTGAGCTGAGACCACGCCACTGCACTTCAGCTTGGTGACAGAGCAAGACTGTCTCACAAAAAAAAAGATAGGACCTTGTTCATGACATAGAGCTTAGAAGGTAAAGTGGGGTTGGAGTCAGCCCGCGTGTGGAGCTTACAAGAGGCATAAAGGTTGAGAATGATGAGAAGGGAGATGACAGATAAATACCAGCCGGAGTGAGCCTGGGGCTCTATACTATGAGCAGACTAACTCGGCTTGAGGAGGAACGGTGATATTTAGAGACAGTGCTGCTATAAAAAGGTCCATTCACTGGGAAAATATAAACTTACCATTATTTTTTTTTTTTTTGAGACGGAGTTTCGCTCTTGTTACCCAGGCTGGAGTGCAATGGCGCGATCTCGGCTCACTGCAACCTCCACCTCCTGGGTTCAGGCAATTCTTATGCCTCAGCCTCCTGAGTAGCTGGGATTACAGGCACGGGCCACCACGCCCAGCTAATTTTGTATTTTTAGTAGAGATGGGGTTTTGCCATGTCAGTCGGGGTTGTCTCAATCTCCCAACCTAAGGTGATCCCCGCCTTGGCCTCCCAAAGTGCTGGAATTACGGGTGTGAGCCACCTCGCCTGGCCAAAAAATAGCATCTCGTGCTGTCTGCTTGAGGAGATGGAAGTTAACTGAAAGGTGCTCCCACCAAGGCCATTCTCCCTCCAACAGGGTGTCTCACTCAGTGGAGACAATGAGCAGATAGCACCTAAATCCCACTGACAAATTAGGTGATAACAAATATTTGCTTTGAGCTTGTCACACTACACTCTTCTAAACATGGTTTGAAAGGAAAGGCAGTGAGAAAGCCTTGGAATTTTATCATTTATAACAAGAAAGGGAGAGAATATTTTTTTCTTTCAAAAATATCTCTGTGGGTGGCAGTTATTCATTCATTCATTCATTTATTTATTTAAGTTTCACTTGTCACCCAGGCTGGAGTGCAATGTTCACTGCCACCTCCCCCTCCCAGGCTCAAGCAATTCTCTTGCCTCAGCCTCCTGAGTAGCTGGAATTATAGGCATCTGCCATGCCTGGCTAATTTACATTTCTAGCAGAGAAGGGGTTTAACCATGTTGGCCACCAGGCCGGTCATAAACTTTTGATCTCAGATTATTCACCTGCCTCAGCTTCCCAAAGTGCTGGGATTACAGGCCTGAGCCACTGTGCCCCGTCAGATTTTTAAACTATTCTGTGTCAATGGTGCAGATGAACTACCCTTGTGCCCAGGAGAAAGCAGAAGGGCATTCGAACCTCAGGCCACCAAAGCCGACCCCTGAAACGTGAGCCATAGTGAGAAATAAGCACAGAGGCAAAGCCCCTTGCCCAGTGTGACAGGAAGTGGTGGAGCTGGAACCTGACCTAGAAGTGTGTGGTGTATAACAAGTGTGGACCGACTCTGTAGCCTGAAACTCCAATGTTATTGAAGGGAAAGAGAAGCACACAAAGCTCTCCAGTGCCCGGTCTCAGCAGCTCTCCCGTCATTTCCTCCTCCCTGCCCAGGGGCTGAAAGGGCACCTGCTCAGAGGCTGCACAGGTTTGTCGGAGGCCTGAACGGTGTCCTGTGTAGCAGCACGAGGTTTCCCTAGCAACCCCACCAGCCAAATGCACACATTCCAGAGAATGCCACAGCCTTCTCCAAGGAAAGCCTCTTCCCTGCAACCAGTCACAGGGGCATCTGCCTTCACTGCCCTCCTACTCCCCCCACCTAGCAAGTGGCTGGTTTATGCTCAGGCTTCATTGAAAGGATGAACAAAACCTTTGTCAGTCCTATGAAGAGCTTCCAATCCCCACTGGGCATCCGCAGCACCGGGCTGCACCTCCATAGAGCAGGTGTGTTCTTCAGAGTAGGAAAGATCCTGCATGTTAGGGCCTGGGCCCATTTTGTGCCTCTATCCCTAACGAAGCTCAGCGTGCTGCACTTAGTAGGTGCTCAGAACTGAAATGAACCAGGGTTTCTTTTTTATCCCAGATGGAGTTTTGCTCACATTGCTCAGGCTGGAGTTTAATGGCACAATCTTGGCTCACTGCAATTCTCCTGCCTCAGCCTCCCAGTACCTGGGATGACAGGCACCTGCCACCACCACATAAAGATTTTTTTTTAGACAGAGTCTGGCTCTGTTGCCAGGCTGGAGTACAGTGGCATGATCTTGGTTCACTGCAACCTCCAACTCGCTGGTTAGACTGATTCTCCTGCCTCAGCCTCCTGAGTAGCTGGGATTACAGGCACACACCACACCCAGCTAATTTTTGTATTAATAGAGACAGGGTTTCACCATGTGGGCCAGGATGGTCTCAAACTCTTGACCTCAGGTGATCCACCTTTCTAGGCCTCCCAAGGTGCTGGGATTATAGGTGTGAGCCACCATGCCAGCCTTAAACCAAGGTTTCTAAGATACTCTTAGCCTCCTCAGATCTGGCCCGGCCCACCTTTCCACCTTTCCTTTTCTGCGCAACTGCCCACAGCTAGCCCAGCCTACGCAACAGCCAGTCTGGCTCCCTCACAATGCAGAGCTGGCACTGGCCACAGGAGCGAGGCCCAGTCCCATCCGGGGCCCCCCTGCCACAGACAAATGCTACAGACACAGCTGGTAGCACATGGCACTGTTTACTGTGGTGTTCGGTGGAAAACATCTGTAGACCAGCTTACTGCAGTGGTGACTGCTGCCACACATGCTCAGAAATTTTTATTATATAAGACGGGGGAGGGCGGGAGTTCCACCCGCTCCTTTGTGACAGCAACTGGGACCTGAATTCAGAGCTTTGTAGACATATGCAGTTTTCATATTGCTTCATGATTGAGAGTTGTTTCCTTTTTTAAAAAAATGCCTTCTTGCCGTAAGGCTCAATGCAGCATATAGAAAACGGTTAGGAATACAGGTAAATTCGGCAACCAGTGTAGACCCGTGAGGACAAGCTACTCTCTTCTAAAGAAAGGCAGTGAGAAAGCCTCAGGATTTTATTAAAAGAAAACCTTTTTTTCTGCTTTCAAGAATATCTGTGCAGGTGGCAGATTTTTAACCATGCTGAATCAACTGTGCAGGTAAACTACCCTCGGGCCTGAAGAAAGATGGGATGCGGGTAAGAGGCACGTTCACAGCAGTCCCAAGGTCAAGGGAGGTGTGCGGCAGGGTCTGGGAAGAAGAGGCTGCAGTGTCCGCATGTCCATCTGAGGCTGC